CTACGGATTCTAAACTCGGCACAACGCATTGAAACGCCAATGAATTAACTTCGGCCTATCGGATGAAGATAAAACATGGTTCGGTCGGAGCGCTTCTTTTGTTTTTGGGAATAATGGGTGCAAACATTGATATCACGCGTTCTCATTGACTTCCTTCGGTAGCTTATTAACTAAAGTATCGTACCAAACGCATAATTGACTTGTTAACTCTGAAATCATGGATTTATTTGAAGTTTTCTGCTCGATAGGCCCAAAATGGGCGATTAGGCCGAAGTAGTTCTCTACCCTATACATAATTTTTCCAAAGTATTTTCGCGAATCACTTGAAAGGTTTTTTCCTCTCGAAGTATCAATCGACAGAAAATTCAAAGGAATTTTATTTAAATTCAAATTCGAATCGTGGAAGTTCTCGTGAATGGGAAACAGAGTTAGTGTGGAATAGAAATTTAGTAGAATCGAGTGAGCGTGAAGCGTGAATAGACCGTATGTAAACAGAATCTGATTAGTTCGGGAATTTTGATACAGCTAGGGGTACAAATATGAGGTACCTAAGCTCGTTGACGTCATTCTTATGACGGACTGTGGAGAGAGCGGACGACCAGCCAAGGACCACCAGCAGAAGGGATAGCGGCACTAGCGGACTAACAGAGGTAGCAGCAGATTCGTGGATCCGTGACTGAGGCTGGAAACCTCGGTCCGGTTACGGACCGCCAGCTGAGTGGTAGATTTGTGGAACTGTGACCGAGGCTGGAAACCTCGGTCCAGTCACGACAAACACGTCAAAAATTAAATACGTAACTGAGACGAGACCGATGTGCAGAATCTATAGGTGAGGCAGAAGGAAACTTTAGTCGACTGTTTCATTCATCCAGGGCTCTCGTTGGATCGAGAGAAAGAAAGAGTCGGCTAGTTTCCTTCTGTCTCACCTATAGATCTAGCCGTTTTCGCTCATCGAGACAAAACTAGTGAACTGAGATTTTTAACATTTGATCAGCGCATCAAAACACTATCTCGAACAAGTACGAGCAGGAGGACAAATAACGATTTATCCAAGAAGTAGGTCACTCCACGCACCAATCTTAGGTCATCTTTTTTTATAGTGTGCCACAAGTGTGCCGTAGGTGTGCCGATTGTGGCGGTCATAGAGCAAGCTGCGATTTTTTGTAAAATACCCATCCCGGCAACCCGGTTTTTCGGACACCTGAAATGTTTTGGTTTGAAATCATTTCGGATTATCTATGCTCGAATCTATTAGTAAACCAAGAAGTGAACTGCTGGTCTGAGTTCCTCAGGTATATCTCATTAGAGGATATTGAGCAGTTCTTTCATTTTATTTACAACAATCAAATGCCTATGAGATTGTGCCAAACGTGTGCCGATGTATGTGCTCAAGCTGTGCCGAATCTAATTGTGGCACAATGTGCTGAGTGACTTACCCTTTGGATTCATTCATGTGTGCTTGATAGAGAAAGTGCGAACAAACGTCAAAAAACTAAATGACGCTAAATCGCTGCCTCATACAGGCTTGTTAGAGGTTACTCAAGCATGAGTCAGACGTATTCATTTTCATAACTTCTTTTTAAACTTCAAAGCATGAGTAGTTGGGATTTTTGAATATGAGTAACCTTGACGCAACAATAAATAAATAAATAAATAAAGGCGGATCTCAATTTTGAGTTTTCAGCCCATTTGTTGACTCAAAAAAAAAACAAAATGGAATTGTGAGCAGGCCTGAAAAATCTTATGACAGCTAAACCGCTACTTTTCAAAATTATGGAACTATGAGATATTATAATAATTTTTTTTTTATGTAAGATACATGAAGAGGAGGTAAAGTTTGTGTAGGACTCATAAAACCTGTCAATTTTGCATTCAGAGGGTCACAATTAGCTATTTTAGCTGTAATGAAATATTTCAATGAGTGATTACCCTTCGTTATAATTAATAGCTAATTGCGACACTCTGGAAATGAAATTGACAGGTTTTATGTGTCATACACAAACTTTATCTCCTCTTCTTGTATATTACATATAAAAATTATTATTACAATATATCATAGCTTCATAATTCCTAAAAGTAGCATTTTAGCTGTAGCATTGATAATTTTTTAAAGTATATTCTAAATATTTTTTGCAGCAATGAATATTTTTTATATTTTATATTTTTAAAACAAGTACTGGAATCCAGGACTAAATTCGTTAGTTATTTGTTTAACGGAAATGAAAGCATTTGCACTATTTTTTAAGTTATGTGACCGAACATCAGTATTTTAAATTGGGGTTACTTTGATAATGCTCGATGAATATAGAAAAAAAATCGTGAAACTCAAACTTTTCAGTTCTTTAAATATGAACCTTTGAATGAAAAAACATCATAGGCAATAAGAATACGACATTGAATTTGTGATGGATATATCAGAAATAGATTTCATAAATGATGGTTTGAGTGCTTTTTCAAACAGGCGAAAAATACGAAAATGGTTTTTTAATAGGTTTGTATAATATGTAACACATACTTTATAAAAACTACATACGATATCAACGGAAATACCCTAAGCTACAATATGGAACCAATATTTCTAATTTAGAAAAAGCGTAGCGAGTAAATTTAATCTTTATATTATACTATCAAAGTTACCCGCATTATCAAAGATACCCCGTTTCGCCGTTTTACTCAAAATTTCGCCGTTTTCGCCGTTTTACTCAAAATTTAGACTATGTTACTAAATTTAGAGTAGATCCGGTTTCAATGAAATTTAGTGGTTTTTCACTCAATTTTGAGTAGCCATGAACGAGCGTGCACATAAGTTCTAATTTCAATGCGTTCAAGATGCATTTTACCGAAAAGGTGTTGCGGATTTTTCATCGGCGTGACATAAATTTATTCGGCGGCGTGAACGATTTTTCTGCGGCGGCGTGCCAGCTCAATTTCATCGGCGGCGGCGGCGTATGAAAATCGTCGACGGCGGCGGCGTGGCGCGGCGGCGCACAGGTCATGATAACGTTTGTGGTGAAATGCGTAACAGTATTGATGTGGTACATACAAATTTTCGCAATGACCGAATGCCACATGATCTTGTCAACATATTGAATTAAGGTAAGGTTTTCTCCAGGACGCTAGAAAAGAGCAAAAAAATCTCGCGAATATCTCGCGAAAATAGAAATTTCTCCAATCAATTTTCACTTTTGTATTATCTATTGAATGAACCAAATTGAAAAAAAACCAAAAATTGTGCACGAAAATGCGTAATTTTATCATCATAAAACGAGGCGTTTCCGTGATGAGAAAACGTGGTTTCCCTAACACAGTCGTCGAATATTGATACCGAGTACGTAAACCTACGTAAAATCTACGGTCCTGTCTTGGATATAACCTCTTACTTTTTGCAGTCTATGAGTAAACTACAATTTTACAAATTTGAGATGGTTTAATCACCCGCGCAGATATTTGACGCAAATCTAAGGAAATTTTTCACAGACCACAATGCCTGCGTTTTTTTTGCGAATTTGAGTAAACGGATCTCAAATTTCAGTCGGATTCAACGGCCGTGCAATTTGTAGTCCAAACAAAGCCCAGAAACATTGCTCAAGACGTCAACCAAATTTGATGCAATCCAAGAGCGGTATTAAATAGTCCTGCTAGATTTCATTTCTGGCCCACTGTTCAATTTATCAATTTTCCGGGTTAAGACTTTCTCCAACGTTTCGAGCTAATAAAGGTTTGGATCATTAGGTCTTATCAAAGCTATGCCTAATGGCCAACCGGAACAGGTCCTTTAAAGTTTCAAAAAGGCTTCGAAAGGGTCCAATCATTGCATCACTCATCGTAAATACCTAGCAGCTGCAACAAATTGCCAAACCAATAAAGCCGATCGGCACGTTCATTCTTGCGAACGAAGCTCTTCTGCTGAGCTAGAAACAAGATGTTTCTTTCCATCGTTTTTCACTGCAGCAAAAAAATCTTTTCGTTCATATTATTTTCCACTTTCCACCATTTTTCCAGCTATCCTCCGATACAAAGTAAAAAGTCCTCTCCAAAAAGGTATCTCTGCATCACAAACTTGCTTCACTCTTGCGACGACGACGACGACGACGAGCCATGGGAGAGCTCCTTTGCAGCGTCGAAACTTTTTCTTCCCTTCTACTACGACATACACACCCACCACTTAACAAGTTCCGCAGCCAGCAGCAGCATCCGCATCTCCTTCCGGCTTCCGGCACTACTTTCCTAGAAGGAAGCGAGCATTCCCTCTTCTTACCCACTGCTTTCCACCGTTTTCACTTGCCTTTATACCTTCCAAACTCACACTGCCTCTTGATGTGCCACCCCACAGCCCAGACTATCCCTTTCTTCCACTCAAACGTTTCTTTTGAAGTGTGTTTGTGTGTATGTGTCTTGCAATCTCTGTGATCTCTTCCTCTCCTAGCCACGTTTACTGTGTTCCACTAGTCTGTTGAACTTCTTTTTTATTACGCTCTTGTGAGGGCTTTCTATTACTTCTTTTGAATACTGTGCACCTTGTTCGTGAGTATGAGCGTGTGTGTGTGTGTCAATGTGAATCAACACCCTCTGAGTGGCGTGTGTAAGTGTTCTTGTAGCGTGTGAACTGAAAGAAATCAACTAATTTACTTAAAACTGAACCTGGAAGGCAGTTTCTTTAACTAACAACTAACATAGGGATTTAACTAACATTTGTATCATATTTAAAATAATTAAAAAAAAACAGAACCTAACCAACATTATCCATAAAATATCACAATATAAGCTTCTAAATCTATGCTTTTTCCTATACAAAATTTCCTCGAATGCACTTCCAAACTCACGTTTTGCTACAACTCACCGTTGAAATATCAAATCTACTTCCTCACGCTGGTCGTCACCGTCCATGTCCGTGCAATGAATAAACGAAAAAAAAATAATATAAATCAAAATACACCACAAAACCACCATCAATCTGCACCTGTGAAAATGCACACTAAATCCACACCACACCCACACAGGAAGGCAGAATAGACGAAGAAGTGAGTATCAACATCAGGGCAAAGGAGGCGCGGACATGCAAATCCGCACTCAGTTTTCGTTTTCGTTTTTTTTTTTTTTTTTCTATTGTGTTGATCTTTGCATTGTTCTCGTAGGTACTTCCACCTTCTACGTATATATTCAGTGTTTTGTTCAGCGTGGCAACATAGTTTTCTGATTTCTGGTTTGAAGCAAAAAAAAAATGTTTCCATTTCGCAATTTACATTTTTCGCGCTTCCCTTGAGCGCGTAATTTGGATTTTCAGTTTTCATCACGACGGGGAACAGTGCGTTACCGTGAATATTATTTGTTTTTAAAGTAGATTTTACTGTCTCGCTTATGTTGGAGGTTACGTTTCAAGTTTCGTTTTAATCAGTAGGTAACGAGTTGTTAGTTAACAGCGCTGTTGGTTGGTTCAAAGGAAAAGCAAAGTTGTTGTTGTTGTGGTCGAATTAGACATCGGATGACCGGTGTCAAATATGCAATCTAATCATTATTATCACACATTTTCACTCACACACAACACCAATTAACACGGCAAATAATTCCCGTAAAGCTAAATTAAATCCAAAGCATTAAATTGGTGTCCATGGAATGTCGATTAGTTGATGTAGCTACTCATGCTGTTTGACTGCTGTAGCAGTAGTTGTTAGTGGTAGTAGTGGTAGTAGTAGTGCATGCCGTCGATTAGATTATGCCCACTTGGTTAGCTTCATTCACACTTTATTGATACAGTTGTTAAGTAGGTACTTGGCAGTCATTATAGTTATGTAATCAAATCGATGACAATGGGAAATATTGATCTGGGATATGGAACAGCTGTGCCATAACAGTGGCAGTGGTATTATGGAAGCAAACTGTTTATTATAACCATTACATTAAAGCTGGTTTAGTCCGGGAGTTAGAAACTGTTAGCTCTATTGCAGCTCCAGTGACCCATTTCAGAATGCCTGGTTTTGCTTCTCACCCCAAAAGGCCTGGGTTTAATCACAGTCGGCGCCGTAGGGATTTTTTGAGGCATAAAATCTCTGATCACGCCTTCCTTAGGAAGGGAAGTAAAGCCGTTGGTCCCCGGTTCATGATTTGATGGGTCGACAGGTAGGGTCCAGGTGTGGGAGCTGCCTCGCTTGCGTCGGTAGCATTGGTGCTCAGCACGGAAAACAAATCATGTTAAATACGCTTCCAGATTGAAAATAAAGATTTCCAAGTCTGGCGCATATATATGTACTTAGTTATGTAATTTGTTCAACTGCATTGAATCGATTTCATTGGAAAGTTCTTTCCAATTTCGTTTCGAATTCCTCTTGATTCATCTTACTTCCATTTGCATATTGTTTTTGACGTAGGACTACGTCTGTGATTTCTATATGGGGGTACACCTTGTGAAAACCGAAAATGGAACATGTAACAAAATTTTGAAAGATTTTGAACGTTAATAACTCAGCTGCCCCTGGACCAATTTCAAGAATTTTATCACCAATCGATTAGAAATATTTCTACGCATCTGTTAAGTTTAAGACTTTAGCATTTTCAAAATTTCACTGTTGAAAACTGCACGAATGTGCAATTGTTGCTATGATAGTTAAAATTATCACCTATTGCCTGCGAAAAGCGATTCAACTGCTGATCGGATTCAGTTCCAATCACCGTGTGTGGTGGTGTCCGGTCATCGGCAGCAGCAGCAGCAGCAGTGATTTCGGTGCGTGGCGTTGAACATTGTTCTCCAGTACACAACGAAAGTCTGCCTGCAAGCAGCGAGCTGCAACCCACATGAGCATCCATAGAAGGAAGAAGAAGCCGCACCGCTATTGATCGGAATCAGTAGCTCTTCGTGAGTCGCTGTGGGCCATCTAAACCAAGCGCGTCACCCTCATTCCAAACAACATACAGCTCACCAGTCTCATCTGTGTTTAACATCCTAATAGCTCAGCATTAAACGCTGGAGACAGATTGGAGAGTTATAATATGTTATAACGGTTGTCAACTAATTGCAACACAGAAACCACCATCAAGATAGCGCTATAACATGTTATAACTCTGTAGTCTGAACGTACTATTACTCAACCATCACGACAAAACGGTCCTTTTCAGGACCACCATAAATTTGTACAAGAGTATTTTTTGGACATTTGTCAAGGTCATCAATCGGCTGTCAGTTCCCAAGATAGAGCTGGAATTAGGGCGTAACAGCTTTTGTAAACAATGACTTCTTTCGATGATGTCTAAAAAATCAATGCTCGGCCACGCAAATCAACATCACCATCAGGTAGGGTAAGACTTCCCCTACCCGACGGTAATGTTGGTAGGCGTGGGCGTGCCTTGAATTCCTAAAAATCATCGAGAGAAGTCAATGTTTACAAAATCTGTTAAGCCTTATTCCAGCTCTATCTAGATATAATTAAATCTAACAAACCATGTACTTTAAGCCAACATTGCACAGTGGGCAAAAAATTACAAAACCGCGACTAAATTGAATATCTCGGCTGCCAAACGATTTCAGTCAACATGTTATACATATTCTCAAAGGAAAAACTCTCCCAAATCGATTGGTGGTGGTTCAGATGCCGGAGACTTTTGCGTACAGAGATAGAGGGCCGGGATCAACCCGAGTTCCCGGTAATGTAGGAAATGCCAATATCTATCGACATAATTTTAGAGTTTACTTAACGTATATTACTGGAAATTGATAGTACTAAGTATATATGGTGTAAAGACACCATATACACCCTCAAGAAAACTCTACTGGCCTAAAGGAGGATCCGGAACGACCGATAAAGTGGCCACATTATAAAAAATGTCCTAGATCCTTGCGATTTTTTCTATGTTGTTCAGAATCAAGAGATCAAAGCGTATTTAATATGGAAACTATATTTTGGGGTGTAGTGGCCATATTCTGGTTCTCAAATCAAATCAAATCAAATCAAATCAGATTGACCGCCCACGGTTGCTGCTCTGTTATTACCAGATCAACTGAAATTACACAGAGAACCAACAGATGATGTTTGGGACTAACATTCATCCTCAATGTGTAAGAACTGGAGATCTAATATTTAGCAATACCAGCGCCGGCCGTGTCCGAATGCAGGTCAACTAGGGAATGGGAAGGAATGTGTTGACGTGGTATACTCGCTGTGAAGGAAACCGAGAAATCCTCTGCGCTTCCACGAGAAATCACTGGGATGTTGGATGTGGGGAAAGGTTGAACGCACACGCAGGGATCGTTTTTTGGTAGAGCGATTATAATACACAACACACACACACACACACACACACACACACACACACACACACACACACACACACACACACACACGCGCGCACTCATCCAATTTCTATTTTTAGATCAGGACCCACACTGTGGTAAGTGATGCGATCGGTGTTAAAGAAGAATTTGTTTTCATTAAAATCTAGTGGGTATAGAATAAGGCAAAGTGAAAAATTGCAAGGAAGGGGACGGGCCTGGGATTGAACTCCCGACCTTCTGCTCAGTAAGCAGAAACGGTAACCACTGAGCTACCGAGCCTCGTCAGTAGTGGCCATATTCTGGTTCTCCAGATAATCTGGATTGACTGATAAAGTGACCACGTTATAAAACATATCCTACATGCTTGTGATTTATTCTATATTGTTCAGAATCAAGATATCAAAGCGTATTTAACTTGGAATACATATTTTGGAATATAGTGGCCATATTCTGATTCTCCGGATAATCTTGATTGACCAATGAAGTAGTCACATAATAAAAATTGTTCTAGAACCTTTCAATTTTTTCTATGTTTGTTCAGAATCATGAAATCAAAGCGAATTTAATAAAGAATTTAAATTTGGGGTAAGTGGCCATATCCTCCGGAAAATCTGGATTGACCGTAGAAGTTGTCATAACGTGTAAACAGTCCTGCAAAACTACGATCTTTTTTCTTATCAATCTTGTTCATATTCAAATAATTAAAACTATTTTTATTTAAAAAAAATCCCTAGTATCTCACTTCTGGAAGGTGCTTTAAAAAAATTGGTACTTTAAATCGAAAAACTGTACACATTTAAAGTTCTGTGAAGAAGGCCACTACACCCCAAAATATAGTTTCCATATTAAATACGCTTTGATCTTTTGATTCTGAACAACATAGAAAAAACTGCAAGGTTCTAGCACAATTTTTATAATGTGGCCACTTTATCGGTCAATCCAGATTATCCGGAGAATCAGAATATGGCTACTACACCCCAAAATATAGTTTCCATATTAAATACGCTTTGATCTCTTGATTCTGAAGAACATAGAAAAAATCGCAAGGTTCTAGGACATTTTTTATAATGCGGCCACTTTATCGGTCGTTCCGGATCCTCCTTTAGGCCAGTAGAGTTTTTCTGAGGGCATATATGGTGTCATTACACCATATATACTTAGTACTATCAATTTCCAGTAATATACGTTAAGTAAAGTCTAAAATTATGTCGATAGATAGTGGCATTTCGTACATTACCGGGAACGCGGGTTGATCCCGGTCCTCTATCTCTGTACGTAAAAGTCTCCGGCCAATGAGACTACCACCAATCGATTCAAGAGAGTTTTTCCTTTGAGAATATGTATAACATATTGTCTGAAACCGTTTGGCAGCCAAGATATTCAATGTAGTCGCGGTTTTGTCATTTTTTGCCCAGTGTGCATTGGGGTGCAATTTCAAAATCCAAAGTCTGTCGCGGTCACTTTCATGTCTGATTTTGATCCAGAGATGATGGATTTGAATTCTTAATACGCCAATCGTTAGGAAATTTTTCTACAAATCTGTTAAAATTAAGACTATATTTTTTTCTAAATTTCGCTGTTGAAAATTGCACGAATCTGCAACTGTTGCTATGATAATTAAAATTATCACCGATTGCCAGCGAAAAGCGATTTCCCTAACACAGATTTCAAAGTTTAATTCAATCCGGTCTCAGCAAACAGTGTTTATTCAATCACCACGTGGTTAGTGCTGGTGTTCTTCAGTACACAACGAAAGGC